CCTCGATGACCGGCCCGAGCGGCGGCGGTGGCATGCAGAAATCACCAGCTGGAGGTCCTTTGCCGTCGTCGCCGCAATCCGCGGTCGACAAGTCCRCGGCCGTATCGTCGGGCTACGGCACGTACAACCGGCGTGGTACCACGACCACCGTAGATCGCCGCATGCGGACCGACTATGACGACGACGGTGATGACGACGACGACCGACTATCCGAGCTGTCCGACTCTGGACATTTTCTGGCGAAAGGTGCGTTCCTCATTACACCCAGCAACGAGCTGAACCTGGAGAAGGCAACGGCCATATGCGAGAAGATGAACTACAGAGGACCGTATTCGGTGACTAGGACAGCCACCGGCATACTATTCAAGTTCGCTGAACAAGACGACTATCACGTGACGTTCCGCAAGGGGTTTCACAAAGTGACCAATTCGAGGTTCTACAAGAAGGTAAGTGGTAATAATTGGCATTGAAGTATTATATACAATATAGGTACTTCTTAAAAAAATACATTTTTCCTCTAAGCATGTTAACTTATGTTTTGTCGTTATCAATAATTTAACATTAGTAAATAATTTTAGTATAATATAATAAATAACATAATATATAACTAATTTTCAAAACCAATATGAGATTAACACTATCAGAATATTGATTATGAAATAAAATAACGTATAGAGTTATAATATATAAAATGTTATTAAGATAGAAATGTACAAATTTTATCCAATCGCCCAGAAATCGAGGCTTACCAATAATAGTAATAATAATAATGACTACCTGATTATCACAGACTGGATTAATATTTGTATTGAGTTTTTAATTTAAGATCTATATTTGTCCGATAAATTAATTTTGAATTATTTCTACAAAAACTTTATCATCTTAATGTTGTTGAGAATAAAAAAGAAATATTCGTATTAAACTATATTATCAAGGGTAGCCTAGTTTATAGTACAATTATAAATTCAAAAATAAGTATGTAACTTATAATATAATTTCAAATTACGTTTAATAATGTTATTATCTTTAATTTATTTAAAAACACATAAACAATAACAACTGAACTCATAATTTTAGCTTTGCAATTCTAGAAAAGAATGAAGAAGGTTAAAAACATTTTTATTTTTTTTTAACTTATAGAAACGAAATTTTATGACGTTTCACTCAGTGTATTATTTCATTAAACTTAGTTCTTTTATAGTTTACTTGCATGTAGAAGTACAGAACGTGACTAGAAATAACAAATAAAAATCAGTCGAGCCACAATAAATTACTTTATACGGTTTATAAACTATGTTACACAAATTAGTTTTCGTAGTTATACAAATAATATTATAATCACATTATCTCTAAACAAATAACATAATATACCCTTATAAAAGTATGATAAAGCATAAACTAATTATTTTTAAATAACAAACATGGTTGTCGTATTATTTATAAATTTACAATACTTTAATTATATMTTAGTTTTATTTTAATTTATTCAATGTTTCAAAGAAAAAGAGTTATAACTTACTAATAAAAAGTAATTTTTAAAAGATTCTATTAAGTCCTCTACAGAGTTTTAATGSTTATAATTTAAAGTTATGTACACTGTACATAATATTATAACAGGAAGTAATTTACAAGGTTTGGTTTTTAAATAGCCTTTAGTGCATAAAATAAACAAGAAAATTTGAAACCAAAATTAAAAACATCTACTTTGAAAAACTTTTTTGCTTATTTCTTAATTTGAAAGCAACAACCGCTATTTTTTTACTGTAATGAGATATTTATGAATTTAATACAAATCTGCAGAAAAAAAGTATTTAGCACATGATTTAAATCATCAAAAATTAACTTTTGAATTTAAAATAACACAAGTACAAAAATTATTTAAATAGTATATTTATTTAGTTTTACATTTCAAACTTAAAGTTTTGTTGATACGACTTTTACGATACGAAGAACTAATCAATATGCGTTTTTTATTTTCATAGAGTACAAACAACATTTCAGCTAAGCAAAATGTAATTCGTGTGTCAGAGTAGTAAAGTTAATAATTAATATCTATATATTGTCATAATATGACTCTTTTAAAATTATTACATAATTAGTTAGTAAGTAAAGTAAACGAAACAGATGTAAGTAATGGGTCTGATATGTTTGCCCGACACTCAAATACCCGACACCTCAATTGCCCGACACCATTTTCCCGATACTACTTTTACCCGACAATGTATTTGCCCGACAACACATTTGCCCGACAATACATTTGCTTGACATTACATTTCGCATTTTTTTACTGTAAGTACGTAATATTATTATAGGTGGTACCTTTTTTTTATTTTCATTATTTTATTATTATAGCTTTTTAAACAGACAATAATATTGTTCTGCGTTAAAGTATTAAAGTAGGTAACAAAACTACATAAAGTAATAATGTGGTCGATATACTAAACTGCTATTTACGATAAGATTTTTTTCCCAATTAACCGATAGGTGATAGACAGACAGCGAGTAGACTTGTATGAACTACTATTTGCGACACGAACTATGATCATATAGTTCGTGATTTGCGATAAGATATTATTCTTTCCCAAATAGATAGGCGATAGATAGACAGTATAGGTTTTAGACTGTAGGATTAGTTATATAATTTTGAATAATTTTTGACACACATTTATGTATAATATAACTTGATATTGTCGACTGTCGGACAAATGTATTATTATTAATTATTATTAGTTATATGTATAATTTTGAATAATTTTTGACACACATTTATGTATAATATAACTTGATATTGCCGCCTGTCGAACAAATGTATGAATTTTTGAATATATACCTAATAATATATRATATAATAATAATAATATATTTTTGAATATATTGTCGGGMAAATGTTTTGTTCGGGAAATGCTTTGTCGGGCAAATGGAGTCGGGAAATTGAGGTGTCTGGCAATTGAATGTCGGGAAAGTGTACTGATCCCGTAAGTAATAATGTTTAAATAACAAATCAGTTTAAAAATATTAACGTACGTGGTTATAAGTTAACCTAAGATCGTTGGAAAATTAAAAACTTGACAGTAAAGTATAATTTTACTCAGTGTATTTGGATGATTTTCATTATTTATAGATACTACTTCTTTCGCCATAATTTGCTATTCAATCAGCTGTAGTTGTCGATAACTTCGCCTTGACGAACACAAGGGTATTTTTCTAGTAAACACCAATATCGTGGGCRTGTGAAAGAAAATTACCCGTCAACTATTAYAGTAAGAAAAATGACATAAAGTTTATTGTATTGTATCTGTTTGTTTACCCGGCATTGAATAGGAATCGCCACAATCTAAAAATGTTCTCTATCTATCATTCCTTTGTATATTTCTTTCAAAGACTTTTTTGTTTAAACAGAAAAACATTTTTTTTTTTTTTCATAAAGCTATGAATAGGTTTTATTAAAATATTACTCATAGAAAAATAAAATGGAACTGAAATCCGAAAAATTTAAAATTACCATCTTTTTCATAGCTTTTCATATTATATAGGTAATAATATTCATTGAAGGATTCAATATGAATCGTGACCATACTATTTTAAATTTAAATTATTGTTTGACTATTAACATAATAACACGTAAATATTTAACTAGGTATATATAATTTAAGTTTTTTTTTTTTTAATACTATCTATTATTTCTTCAGTTGCTATTGTTCTTTTTTTAAACAGATTGAATAAAATATTGTAAAATCAAAAAATATATAAATTAAATAATTGAAAAAAAAAATTATTTATTAATATCCATGTCAACAATGTAATAAATAATAGATATAAAATGTATTGTAGAAACATAGTATGTAGTTAAAAGCTCTTCCCACTTCGCCCGATTTTTCTCAAGTATAGGGTAATATTACATTAATGCTATATAATATAATATAATATAATATAATAGCATTGTGTTCAGCAACAGATTTTCTAGTAAATTTTATGATGCCTATAACAAAGAAACCTTTTAAAATCAAATTGTTTTAATAACATTTTTATTARTCTTCATATAAAAATTAAATTAATTCACCAATATAAATATGTTTTACTTTAATAATATTATTATCATCATTACTTTTTTAAATCGACAATTTATTGGAAAATATCCAAGTAGACTCTTAATGCACATCTCTTACACACAATAAATGGACGATGAGAAAAAATAATTGAACACATATTTATTGCGTGTMTTGATCTTMGATAAAGTCGAAAGTTTGAAATTACACACCATTGCGCATAATTATCTATAAATTAAATGTTAAACATAGATTTCTTTTTTTTCATAAGTTTAAAAATATAATCACTTAAAAAGTTTTAATTTTTTTTTTTATGAAAATCCGTATGTTGCTTATTAAACAATTAAAAATAATAATAAAGAAATATTTTTTGTAATATGATAATTTATAATATACTACATGATAAACATAAAATTACAACACATACAAATATACCATTTTAAATGTTAGTATTTTTTTTGATTTTTTTTTCAATTATAACTTAAAAAATATTTAATGTATTATAAACTCAAATTATTAGGTTATTTGGTATAAAATTGGTTCATATAATCAAACATTGATGTGAATAACGGTTTAGTCCTATAAATGTTAAATGTATTTTATTTGTAAATTGTTAAATGCCTTGAGAGTTTTATTTTATACTATATCTAAACAATTTTGTATGCAACCGAATTTTAATAAGCCAATCTAAAATCCCATTAATTCTTAAACTTTAATACTGTTTACGTTATACCTATTCACTTTATTTAAAAATGGCTTAACTATTACTTTTCGTTTAGTAATATTATTATTTATGTTAGAGGTTATAAAATATCAAACACAAATTTATAGCAATCACTTTATAGTATACAATAGTTTTGTTCATAAAAATACATTTCACATTTGTTTAGATATTAAAAATAATATAATGTTATTAAAAAAAATATTATATAAATCAAATTACCAAATATTTTCTTTCAGAATCAGTGTTTTTGTAAACATATAGGTAGTTTAAATATGTTTTATTACATGTTGGGTATTCATAGAATCGCTTCTAAGTACCATATTAGCTTTTATAATAATATGATAATATGACGTTATCAATGTGGACAGTTTTGGGTTTTTTAAAAATGTAATTAATTTAAAAAATAAATATAATACTCAAATATTTTTTTAGGACCAATTATGTTGGTTTTTGAATTAAATTTTACTTCCTATAGGATAAGGATATTTATTAAACATTGTATTATATTATAGACATTTGTTCAGTTAGTATTATCATAATAATAAATATGTCAATATACTGCTTCCGTGAAAAACTATGAGCTGAAATTATTACTTTGAAAGTCTTAATTGCTGTAACTAAAATTACAATAAGTCGCATTATATTAACGATGATACCTATAGTAATTAGTTTGAAA